ATATATTACTGTATATTGTTAGTTTATATGTAATGTCTTATTTTGTTTAATTTTATTTTTCTTTTTGATTCGTATATCTGTAAAATAATATCTATCTGTATCTGAACCTATCATCTTATGATTCTAATTAAGTTCAAATAGATTACCACGATACGCAGCTTGGTTCGTTCTCAGAAAGGCATCACCTTCAAGTCAATGCACGAAACAGCAGCAATAAGCGATACTGTTAATTAATGAAATATATATTATTGTTTAATGAAAAAGCGCCAAGAAAGTGATCCAAGATGTTAAATATCGCGCTCGCCGATCGGGCGCCAGCGATTCGGCAAATACTCAAATACAGAAACTTTGATGCCGATTTCGTTGCTTGCTTTGTATGCAAAAAAAATATTTAAAGCAATATTAGAAGATGGAATAACGACAGCGAAAGAAACATTATAGACGTTAATATTATGTAACTATAGAAAAAAATGACGTCTCTCTTAATACAATATACAGATTGAAAAAGATGATACAAAGATGATGGCAAAATATTGTTCTTCGAGAAATTTGCAATCGAGAAAATCTATGTTCTTAGAAAATTTGCAATTCAGGTCATGATATATTTGATTATTTGTCATGTGATATTTTTTTAATTTCATGCGTTTAAATAATTATATTCAACGAAATTTAATTAAATTTCATTTAATTAATTCAATTTAAATTAAGATTTCTTAATTTTTAAATTCGTAGAGAATTAAAAGCCTAATAAATCTAATTAATTAAAATTAAATTTAAGATCAGACATCAATCTTCTATTGTTTATATTTAAGATTTTATAAAGAAACATTTATAATTTTTTTCTCCTTTGTAAACGTTTCATCAATTAAGTTAGCGGTGAAATTTTTGTTAAGAACAATCGAAGGTAAATTACTCGAGGAATAAAACCCCTAGACGAGCGTATAGGGGAAAGGGGGGGAGGTGATTATCTTCGATAATTATTCTCATACAGAAATAAACGGATCATCAAAGTGTTCCGGCAAGATTCGCCCGGCGCTCTAACGGCTTTAATAATAATACCGTAATTGTGATAAAAGAAATTAGTTAATTAGTAGGTAAAAACGTTACGTACGATATAATGATCGTCGACGCGGATTACAACGACGATCCTACCAGTAGATAAGAGACAGATTATCTCGTGAATAAAAAAATAACTGCATACAGGGATGATAAAGATATTACATAAGGGATAAAAAAATCATTATTGCGTATAATCGATATTAAGCGATTAGTTTGTAACGGAACCCGTAGAGATCAGCGATAGATAGAGAAATATATAACATATTAAACGAAAATATATCACACTACCACACACTGCGACATAAACGAGTAAACGATGTACTTATACATTAGTCAATGTTCAATGTTGAGATATTTGTCTGAAATAAAATACATATACGTTGTTTACACCATACCGTCTGCGTAAAAATATCAATTTTTGATGCTCTAGGCAAGGCCCTTTAATCTCTAACTCCTTCCTTCAAATCTAGTAGTATTATTAATGATTTATTTGATCAAATATACCGTAATTAGTATCGCAAATATGCTTTAACATGATACCGCTTAAATGCGCACATATTTTATTAATAAATTAGTTAAATATTTGCACATTTAAGCTGCCTTTGTTAATTAAAAATTTCAATGAAATTGCAAATGAATATTGTGTGTTTTTATATTATATTTTAATATACAATCTTGATTTTTTTTCTCGAAGAAAATGTATGTTTGTGTATCCTTTTTTTACAAAATATTTAGGAAAAATTAATTGGTATTTAAAAAAAAAATGGACCAGTAACTAAAGAAAAAGAATCAGCGAAGCATGAAACGAATCGAATTGACATTTGACATACTTCATCGATAGCGACTAATGAATCTAGAGAGATTTCATGCATAAAAATGAACCTGTCTGATGATGTGTACCACATCACGTACTATTATATCTCGTATATAAATTAAGTATATGCATGCTTTTCTCTCTCATGTGTTGCAAATCGCAATCATGTCTGCTGATAAATTTTTGATATAATCTCTGGAAGTTTATGCGTATCAATTATGCGTATACAATTATGTTTTTACTCTGGTAAAACATTGTAACGTAGCTGTGCATACAAGATGTCTTTGCATATGAGTAGTTTAAACAAACGGCGAGTCGCGGGTTTATCTCCAATCTCGAGAAGCTTTCCATGTTTTTCGCAAAAATTTACTTCCTTTATGCTCCAAACTTATCCCACTCGTTGTGATTTACGGACTAATACCATGTTGTTGTCATTTATATATACTTTTCTGATTTATATACTTTCACATACACTCACGTCACTCGGATTACAAAGCAAAAGAACAAATGTAAACACTATGAAACATATGTCGAAGCTTTTAGAGCATGTTTATTTATCGAAAAGCGAGGAAGCCTTTTAATGTTTGGTGAATAGTTCGGTCAAGTTGCAAATTGTTATTCTAAAATTTTAATTCTAAAATTTTTTATTAAATATTGCAAATTTTTATCTCTCATATGAAATCTTTTTCAAACAAATAAATGAAAATGATGAAATAAATGATAAAAATATAAAAAATTAATAAATCCGTTTAAATGCGTTTTGTAATAATTTATAAACGCACACATACAAATAAAAAGTTGCACGATACAACTTTCCACATATATTTTGTTCTTTTTTATTAACAGATAAAAAATATCGAGATGAAAATTTTAACAATAACAAAAAAAAACCACAACAAAAGGATGCGATAAACTAATTTTGCACGATTGTCTCACAAAAAAATGGTTGTTTTGCAATAAAAAAAAATACTAAAGTTGTGTAAACATATTCGAGAATGTACAAATTATATAAAATTCGCGCAAAATATTCAATTGAAAAAAAAAAAGACGTACATAATCGCGAAGCTGATATTCCTGACACGAGAAACTTTCGACGAAAAACGTCTGATTTTATTTCATTCCTTGCGTTATCCAAATACGTCACGAAACCATTATATACGTCGGTCGGATATTCATATGAATGTACGTGATATGCATTTGGTATGCGGATGCGTGCGGAGAGAGGCTCCGAAAAAGTTTCGAGAGAAAAGTCGGAGATACAAAAACTTTCGGCGGAGCTGAAAACTTTTCTAAATCACGTGGGACTTCCGAGATCTTCAAGTCCGAGTACCCCGTTGATTCCCGGGGATTTGATCTCTCTTGAAAGCCGCGTCCGGAACGTTTCCTATATCACAAGCTAAACCTTACACCGCGCAGATCTCTCACAATTTATATGGCGGCCGACAATGAAATATATTGTTGAACGAAGGTGGAAAACTTTTCGAGAGTTTCGACGACTTTTTGCCGGCGCGTACGGCAGAGATTCGCCGGCCAAACGGTTACTTTTATTAGGACGAATACTCGTAAGAATGGAGGTGGCTTTAGCGCCAGTAAGGGGTCATGAGAGAGAAAAGTGTTTAGTACGATCCACAGTTTAGGATCTAGAGTGAAATTTCTCTCTCTTGGCTCCTTAGATGGCTCTTGGCGAGAGCCAATTCCTAGTTTCATCTCCCGATCCGATTCTTCCAGCTCTAACCACGACCTATTAATTTTTTTTATAATAAATGTTTTGCGATAAATTATTAATAAGAGTTAAGGATGTTTTGTATGTACAATCCCAGTAAAAAGTAGCTGAAAAACAATATTGAATATCCTTTTGATGTATTTTGAGTATGAGAAATTGTGTGGAACATTACAATTTAATCTTAGCTACAGTGCAGAGATGTATTTTTTAACATTTATTGCGTTTTTACTGAAATATTCCGAATTTTGTTAATCGAAATGATTAACTTTTGGTAGAAAATTTCGCTTATGTGACAGCTACATGGCTAACTTAATTAAATTAGATTTAATATCTTTTTAACCAATTAGTATTTGTATAATATTATTTGACCAAATATTTCCTCTATATCTAAACTTTTTTAACAAATTCTGAATATTATTTCCATGTGTTTTAGTCATTTGAATCGATGTTATACGTTTGCCATTAAAACACATGTTAATTCGGTGCAAATTAAAATCTTTATAACTTGTGACCGCTTTAGTGAATCGATTTAAAAATTGTACTGAAAATTCTAAATTTAAAAATTGTACTGAAGATTCTATTTTTCGATTTAAAAATTGTACTGAATTTTAATCGATTTAAAAATTGTACTGAAGATTCTAAATTTAATAATTGTACTGAAGATTTAAAAATTGTACACTGAAGATTCTAACATATGTAAAGACATTCTGTACAATTTTCATTAAATTCTCAATATTTTGAAAATAGGTACAAAACATCCTTAATTAATTTCGTAAAATATACACATATTTGAGTAACTTTTTATATTTTCTACATACGATATATATGGAAAAAGTTAATAAATATGTATATTATATATATATATTATATACTTATCTAATATTCATTCGATTAAACTACGTATAAAGTTTTAATAAGTTTATCACATCCATTGCAAAAAAAAATAGATATTCTTGATATTTTTTCAACAAATTATCGATTTCGACGATTGGAAAACTTATTTCCAATAATTCGATCAACTTCACTGCGAGAGTACCTGCGCAAATATTTATTCATCGGGAGAAAAAATAGCCGGAGATAAATTCGTTTTTTCGAATTAACGATATACCACAGATGCCAAGTGTCCTATCTTTGCGCATCCTTCTCTTTCCCCCTTCTCTCATTGCGCACTCAGGTATTATGATGAAGGGGGTAGCTCGTGTAGACCGGTGAGATGGTGACGGTTTCGAGTGACGGACCGGAGGGCGCCGAACGGAGGAGGGTTAAAGGGTGTTCGCGTCGGTGGTAGGTAGATAGGTAGGTAGCGGTGGGGTTGAACGCTGGTGTGCGGGACCCTCTCTCTCTCTCTCTCCCTCTGGTCGGGAATGCTGAATCCACCATCCACCGGCGGTGGAAACTTCAGTACGCGACCAGCCACCGACGTGTGTTTACGGTCCGAGGCTCCGGCGGAAGCGGCGAGAGAGTTGTTTGCTCTTCGGGGGTGAGAACATCTCTTTGTAACTTCTGTTTCCCCGCGTCGCCATCGCGCGCCGTCACCAACAATCACCACTGTCCGCTGTCAACGTTACCTTTAATATCCGGATCGGTTAATCGCGCGTGTTTTCGCCAGAGAAATCGGCAATTTCATATGAATCGCTATCAGCTTCGATGTATCACCGATCGCGAGTTTTTATTCGGAATTATTGCGCCGGGAATCGTGGATAGAAATTAATTTTTTTACAATCAATTTTACTGAAATAAATTAAATTCCCAGTGTAATTAATCGCAAAGATTATAGGATAGATGTAGCAATGTGAGTAATCGGTTAAAGAACGATCGGTTGATTTAAAGTGAGAATATTTTTTTCACCGTGCGCCAATTTTTCAAAGGCACCGATTAAGGTTCGAATAATATTAATGTGAAAAGTGTAATTAAAATCGTTAATTGAAATAAGCAATGAAAGAATAATCTTATCAAGTAACGTAATTGTGCGGATGAATGATGTTGTTTTATTATTTATAAACGTACGTTTTAATTTAAAATACATTTAATTTTGAAATACATTTTAATTACGAACTCTGATACGATAGCATCTCTTTTTAAATAACGTGTATTATTATAAATAAATTTGTATAAGTAAATTTTACGTAATGTATAATTGTATCACACAAAAAATAAAGATAGAGAATTCCTTTTCTAATGTAATTTACTTTCTATGTCCAATGTCTCGTTTACAATTAACGCTAAATGCTTTTATACTCTGTTCCGAGCTCGTTTCCCCGTTATTTAGCTATAAATAACATTTAATACGAAGCAAAACACTTTGCGTCGTTTGAGTAAAACAGTCAAAGTTTCGTTCGTTGTCTTAATTGGACGCATTCTCCTCGTGCCGGAATAACGTATGGAAATCTCGCCAACTTGCCGGCAAGTTGCCGAAGTTTCGTGTTGTTTCAGTGTCAAGGACCCTGGTATGCGCGTTGACCTTAAAGCCGTCGGAATAACCGGAAACAACGCCGAGAGCGAGCGATGTTTTTGATCGATTTCCGTAAGAGCCACGAAAGTTTAATCACATTTCTCGGGACGTATAGACTGACAAACTTGTAAAATAAACGTCCGCTCGTACCGTCTAACAAGCTGTCACGGTAAAAAAGAACTGACGGAGACATTTAAAAGAGAGGTACCTCTACCGAAAAGTGATTACCATTTTTTAATATCACTGTCATTTATATTTGTATAGGAATATATTTTAACTGGATCAAAGATCATCTAATTAAAGATACGAGTCGTAAATGATAATTGTGCAGCATGTTTCGTGCAATATCGTGCATCCTTAATTATTTCTTTTTAAAGTAATCAATATATGCATTTAATTAGTATATTATATTTAATTATATTTAATTAGTAATTATATTTAATTAGTATATTATCATATTCAAGTTGATAGTTAAATGTAAAAGAATATTTATGGGGAGCTAAAATTGTTGCAAAGAAATCACAAATTTCTGATCCATTATCGAAATTAAAAGCTGATTTCCCGTCTTGTTCTGGAAGAGAAGCTTCTAATTAACGCTAGTTTCGGCCAAATGTGGAAAATAACCTCGAGCTATTAATGTGTTTGCTGTCGCAATTGCAATAATTGAGATAAATGAGCGACATAACTTATTTATTCGTGCTTGATTCAACAAAAACAATTATCGCAAACTTTATACTAAATTTTTTTTTTCTTTATACAAACTTTATTCAAAATGGAGAACAATCTATTATTTTTGTAACAAGGAAAATAAAGATAACAGTTTTATTATCGGAGTAAAAGAATTTAATTGACAGAATTCTATCTCAATTAATCAGTTAATCAAGGAAGCTCGAAAGACAATAATAGATTCAAGTGAAATAAGTTTTTAAGAATTTTGAATGGAATTGAATCTGATGAATATAATCTGATGATAAAATAAATATAAGACGGCTATATCATAGTTATAACTGAAATTGTAATGAAAAAAGATTCATAAATAAATATTTACTCTTATCACTTGTATTTTCATATCAACAGTTTCCTTTTTTTTTTTTACCGAATATTGGCAAAAATATGCGCACCTCAAAAACAATCAATCAAATAAATAAATAAAAATATTCTTACGCATTTAAATTTAATTTTTTGCATTCGAGACGAATCAAAGAGACTACGTCCAATCATGAATGTTCTTGGAAACGCTACAAGACTAGGCATTCTCGACATCCGTTCGATTAGATTCCTACTAGTCAGGAAACGATGGAATGATCGCGATACATAGCGTCGGTTGTTGAATCGCGTCGGTGCTCTCAATGTCAAGGCGTTCGGTGATGGAAGTGCATCGGCTAAAAAGCCGATGCACCCGGGAATATCTGAGTTCGCCTCGCGTAAGAACGCCAAGAACGTAGCACGATGCCGGTGCCGGTTTGTGGTAGAACCCGTAACCAACATTGGTGTACCGAGTAGTGGTGATGGTGACGATGGTAGTGGTGGTGATGGTGGTGGTGGCGATGATGGCGATGGCTGCAACGGTGGTGCGCCGTTGGCGATGCTGCCAAAGTAAAAGTAGTAGTAGTAGCGTAGCGGATCGTCAACGTAGTAGTAGAAGCAGTAGTAACAGTAGTAGTAGTAGTAGTAGCGATAGAGCATTAATACTACGTAATGTCGTTGTAGTACGGCTACCACGACGCTTACGCCCGCGAGTTCATGAATGAACTTCGCTCCCGCGCGGACGCTAATGGGCTTCCTTTCTCCGCGCGGCAAGCCGCCTATCGTATTTTTGTCGATGCGATGTAATTCCCCGCGGTGTCGACGGTGTCGCCGATTATCGCGCTCGGGGGTTAATTGCCCCTCGTCTCATTTACAATCCGAAAAACGGAGTGGTTTCTATGAAAATTTTCGCGGTCCTCGCGCGATCAATATCGAATCGAAGGAAATCGGCAGACTGGCCAACACGTGGGAGCGAAAAAGGCTCGCAATGAACTACTTCTGGGATAATAAAATAGCAGTCTTTTTTTATGTGGATTCCATAAAAATCATTTTTTTTTTTATGGGGATTCCATATTAATTTATCACTCAAAATTTAATATCTTGATGAATAAGCGAGAATAAAAGCGCGCTAATGAATGAGATAAATTTAATTAATAATAATTTAATAATTTTATTCTTTTGCGTGGAATTTTTATTAAAAAGAAGTTAATTTATACATGAGAGGTGATATTGACGATTTTAGAAATTGATAAAGGTTGTGTATGCCATTTTCAGTTTTTCATTTCTAACACGATAGCGTATCTCTTCTATATAAGAATCAAACTGCGAACGCAATTGTATATACGGTACTTCCTTCCGGAACTTCCTGGCGGTGGAACTTTCATTATGATCAGTGGGTGTTGACCTTTTTCTAAAGTCTGGATATAGTGAAGGACGATTATGCGCGCTTCTTGCCGACACGAAGCCACGACCAACTTGGCCATTATTATCCGTTGTTGTCTACTTCCGCCTACTGTATCTACTCTTCCAAGTGTTTCCGAGTCGTTACTAATTTCTAAAAACTGGAACACTGCCAGTGTTGGAATCTTCCCTACGGTACACTTTTAAGCAGAATTTACTTTCTTAATACATACGCGACACGTTTCTTAATTGCTGTTGTAACTTGGACTCTTGTTAAAAAGCAAAACGGAAAAGAGCGGAATAAAATTCTTTTATGTAACCGTTGTCTCATAAACGGAATACATCGTTCACGTTATATTGGGATAAATATTTCAATATATAACTTGGCTTTAATGAGTCAAATAAATTGTGTTTTACGTGCACTTTGCATTCTATTCGTTATGTATTTTATTAACGTAATTGTTTTTCCGCTCTGTAAGTACATTAAAATGCATAATATTTTTCGTTCCATTAAGAACTTCAAAATAATCCATAACTATATCAAAGCACAAGTTACTGCACAAGTTTTCTTAAAAGTTGTGACAAAATATATAAATAAATAAAATAAAATAAAATAAAATACATTGATCTGTGATTGATAAAATTGAAAAGATATATTCAACGATTAAACAACGAGTACACTATTTTTTGCGAGTACACTATTTTTTGCGAGTACACTATTTTTTGCGAAATTTGTAATCAATTTATACGAAATTTATAATCAATGTAAAAAGATTTCTATTCTTTTAGAAGAAAGAAACAAATTTGCATATAAAGAAACTTCCTTTGATTAAGTATTATTTGACCTTGCCTTATTAAATAAATAGCTTTTTTACAATCTCATAAATAAGAAAAATTAGATTACATTTACATCAAAGAGACGAGATTATACGACTGCAAATATATTTCAAATTCGATTCATAAAGATGCCTTTTATATTATTCACATAATACAAAATAATTTTGTTAGACAAAGGAGCACATTTATAGATTTATATAATATGATTTATGTATGGATATATATATAATACTATAATGTATAATTATATAATACTAATTAAACTTTCTTTCTCCGTCTATGGAATTAAAATAATAATCTAAAATAATAAAAATGTAATAACGGCCTTTTTTAAATTTATGCAGTCAATAACTTTTTTTCAATATTGAGAGAACTACTTTTCCATAATTATTATAGATTTATAAAAAACAGACTTTATGTGAATGAGATTTTTTTATATAAAATTTTTACAAGTACTAAAGGAAATCTGTGTTGTTTTCGAAATTTTAATTCGCTGCGAAATTAGCAGACTTTATTGTTGGCGAAGAGTTATTCGTCCGCAAGTTTATATTTACAAATCATTCTACAAATCCACTATTTCTAATCTTTTTGTGACAAGAATTTTTATCTTGAAAAGTTATATTTTTCAACTGTTTAAAATCTTTTATGAGAGCGCCGATAATCTTTTTAATTATTATTTGTTTGTGTTTATTACTAAATTAATTATATTTGTATACGAATTAAAAGTTATATAATGTATAATATATTGTCGTTTTACATAATTC